CAGCAAGTTGCTGGATGAATTAGCAAGTTGCTACTGCTTGCTGACCTTGTCTCAAGAGGGCGGTACATCAGCAAGTTGTAGCATGCATGAAACAGATTTAGCAAGTTGCTATTTGCTTGCCGTGAAAAGAGCAAGTTGCCGATCTCTTGTTGCGTTCAGATGACATTCAAATGTTCCTGAATTATTGATTTTCTTTTTGTCCTATTTTGTCCTATTTATCCAATTTTTTGCTTGATTTTATTGTATTTCAAACTAACTTCACATCGAAATGGAAGGAAATCTTGAAGGTAATATTAAAAATGTATATCGCTAGAAAAATTAATATCTTTTAAGGTTTAGTCACCCCTTTAAGAAAATACGGTAGGCTGTTTTAGCAATAATTTCCTTCAAATTGTAAAAATCCTCTAGAAATCATAAAGATGAAAAATCCGTGATTTTCTAAATTCAAAAATTTCCTTAAAGGTGGGGGGACATGAAAAAAAAAATTTCTCGAAATTCCGTTTTTATACGACCCTCGTGGAGTTGAACTTGTGGGGGCGAGGATTGAGAGTGCGGCGCCGCTACCGACTGAGCTAAGCGGGCAAAGAAAAAGCGGAAGCCAGACTGCATACATAAAGGCGCGGACGACAGCTGTACGCAGAGTGACATTAAGCGTTGTACACCGTCACGGTAGAATACATACTCTGGCCCCGAAAATCCCCCGTAAAATCTTCTGTCCCCCCACCTTTCACATCATGATGCATCACATTTTTCGAGAAGGAAAAGATATCAGAAATTTCAAAAGAAATTCACGAGCTTCAAAAGAAAATTTCATAAATTTTTTAATAATTCTGAAGTTTTCAAACATGTTGATAATCCAAAAAATGGCGATGGGAAATTCTAAAAATCTACGAAAACAAATAAAAAACTCAAAAAAAAAACAAATATTTTCAGGTTACTGTAGTTGTCGTTGTGGGACCTTCGGCCACGGCCACCAGCGTTCCGCTTCCAGATTTTTTGTACCAGAATAATATAACACATAATTTTATACATTTTTTAGGTTGAACCATTCTTAAGACCCGCGATGAGTTCATTGAAACCATCCAACTCAAATTCTTCCCTTTTTTCACCTCTATCCAACCTGACGTAACCGTTGACGCTACATATTATTGTGACTTCGATTCAAAATCGTTTCCTATGTACATTGAAACATTACTTTCTGTTCGGCTTCTTCCCCCTTTTTCTCTTCTCTTTCTGACAACTATAATACATTTCAAATTCAATTTGAAGCAAATTTTCACACGAGTCACATTCCCCTTTTTGACGTATTCTCTCTCATCAAGTAGTTGTTTACCCTATTCATCACTACTATAATATCGCCCTGGGGCAATACTGTCATTTATAATCATTATCCCTCACGATCAACTCTTTTTTATTCCCATTTCCCCGCTCTAACACCTCCTTCCTCGTTGTGGACCCCTCTTCCATTCGACGACTCCGCCCAGTTAGACGACGTCCGAGGCTCCTCCCCTTTTTCCCAGAGACCCATATTACCGAGTTAGCTCATTTTCACACTCTGCTCAAAAAGTTCCCTAAAGAACTGTTGAGATAATAATGATAACCCCAACGCCCAGCTTTACAATTGATGATCTTCTTCGAGGCCATTCGAATGAAATTCAACGTATTCTAAAACTAGAGGAATCGTCATCAGCTTCAAATACCAGTTCAGACGAAGTGAGTTTGTATTATTTTTCAAATATAGGGAAATTTAAAGGGGGACTCCGGTCAAATTTTTCATTGCATTAAAATGTATTAAAAGTTATCAATTTTCCTAATATTATTGCGAAAATGTTTTTTAAAAATCCGAAATCCCCGAAAAACGCCGTTGAAAAGGAAAAAATTAAAAAAAAAAGGT